TGCTCTGAAGGTGTTTGTCTATTCGAACTTTTAGTGCACAAATAGGCGCACAGCCGCTCCTTTCCCCTTTCGGCTTGTTTGATGTCTAGCCAAATATTGTGCAAGTACCAGCGAAGTGATAGCCCGCATCTAGAAAGCAAATTATGGACACCTTGTGCATTCTTCTGTGTTCCTCTTTTAGATGCATCAGCAGAGATCAGATAATTTCTACGTGTTGAATTGCCTGTGGCCTTGTGGGGGAGTTGGCCAAGCTCTCACTTTATTTGCGGGTAATAAAAAAAAAAACGGGCATGCAGTATGTGAAAACTCAAGGTTGCTACTTTGAAACCTGCAGTAGTTAAATTCGCAGATTTAGGATTTACTGGACACGACAAGCTTAGGCTTACAGCACCATGTTTTTAAAAACACAAATAAATTCTGTGTTAAGTTCTATATGGGAAAAAACCTGAAAATACAGCATATTAAATGTATCCTGGTGCAGGACATTCCCCGCGCCATTTCCTTTTAAAAGGGGGAAGCCACAAACACCACATTGCATTTATTCTTAGCTGCATATAAGAGTAACGTTACACCGACGCCCTGGCACCTAGCTGGTATTACAGATAATTTGTTAATGGTAGTGATGATACAGGCGTATACTAAGTGATAACGGCGGTGTAAATAATAAACGGGTTAGAATGAGGCTGGTATTTGGTATTTTTTATTTTATTTAAAAATAATAATTACATATATTATTTATTAGTTAACCACTCCTATAATTTCTAAAGTTTTGGCCAGCGTGTTTGAATCCAGCGGATTATTTCAAATTAGCAAAAAAATATGCATTTAATTTATTTCTATTTTCGCTGTTCTTCTTAAAAACCAAAACACACACACACACACACACACACACACACACACACACACACACACACACACACACACACACACACACACACACACACTAGGCCTGCTTCACGGCACGATATGTTTATATTTGTCAAGAAACAAATATATATATTATTTATATATTATTAAATTAATATATTATTAAATTCTGTTACAGCGTAACTGATAAATCCACTAAAAATGCTCAAATAAGAAAGCCTGTTATTATTCTTTTTAAAAAAAAATGTAATTTACAAAAAAAAATTGAAAAACAAAACATTCTTTCAATTCTCCAGAAATAACGACACGTTTATTGATGTAGTTTTACATAGTTAATTTAGCACTATAGCTTTGTTGAGAAAAAATACTCAAACTCCTGCAGAAGCGTTAATTTCATGGAAACTTCGTGTATTGTAATGAGGTTAATTAGGCGCCAGAGACTTAGTTCCAGCGTGTACAGTGACCTGAAGTAGGCAGGAAGCTTGATTGTGGTAGAAAAATAACCGTATACGAGAATTCTCCATGTAGCCTGCGCTTAAGGTTTAACTCACATAGGAATACAACGTTTAACTGAAAACTACTCAGCCTCATAATTGACTTAAGTATGTTTCATTATTGGCTAGCTTTTTGTGCCTATGATATGTATTTAATGCTTTAAGCTGTAGCAAAGAAAAACCTGCAGAGGAAAGCGTATGGCCTGTGAGGGGAGAAAAACTGTTATAAAGTGTTATAAAAAACGATTCATAATTCACTAGATAGTCTTATTCAGATCATTGAGCTTCAAAGTTTCTGTGATGTGGTGCTGTTTAAAATGCGTTTTGGTGAGCAGCGATCGTAGGGTGCTTACGTGTCCTATAAAATGTCTCGTAAAAGAAGGCTTCCAAATACATTTTGTATCGTTTTGGATAACCGAGAGGGGATTGGAACGGCAGCAAGTGCCAATAAGAAGGAGCCCGGTGTCATTTATTTTATTCATTCATATTTTTCATCTCGCATAGTGGTTCCTGCTCAAATCTTGATAATTCTTAAAAAGTCGAAGTTGTTATAGGAGAGAGGGTGAGTATTTAATGACCGTAGGGATTGATTTATCCTTTATTGTTCAGCCTTATGATCACGTGTGTCTGCTACCCAATGGCATGGCAGCCTGTCTCCCCATTACTTTCCCACTGTAGTTCTCCGTGGAGCGAAGTTGCTACTTGATTTCTCCACATTGTTATTTTGTGAGGCTGGGTTTACTGCGTGTGTATGTGTGTGTGTGTGGTGTGTGTGCGCGTCTCGCTTTTGCATGCATCCGCTGTATGACTGTGTACATGTGAAAGTGTAATTTTTTCTGCCATGTCGACATCTGGAACGCTCACTAGTTACTACGTCGATTCCCTCATTCTCCCCGAGAGCGAGGAGCTCTCTGTGCCGAGGTACACCTCCGGTCCTGGGCTCCAGCACGCCAGGCAGCATGCCTCCATCAGCGACCACAGCGAGGTCGGGACTTGCACCTTCCCATCCAAGCCCCAGGTATTCGGGCCGTCTTGGAGCCACGTCCCGGCTCAGTTTCCAGCCACCGTCTCCTCTGTGTATCATCCCCACTACGGGCATCCCCAAGGCCCAGTAGGTGGAGATACAGATGGCCGGTATCAATCCTGGCTTCTGGAGCCCATGTCCGGTTCCCTGCCGTTGACCGGATTACCGACGACCCATCACTACGGGATCAAACCGGAGGGACTGGGGGCGCGGGCTGAAGGAGGGCTGCCCGGATCCCACACGGCTCTGCTGCTCTCTGAATACGCCAATGGCACCGTGGCGTCAGCATCACCGGTGGAAAAGGACGAACTCTCCGTCCAGGCAGGGGATTTGAGCGGAGAGGGGGAAGAGAAACCGGGCCTGGATCCAAGTAAGTCAAAGCAGAGTCTTTTATGTCATTTGCACAACATGAAGCTGTGAGGATTGGGGTGCCTTATGGGGGTGCGCGTCCTAACAGATGCCATTCTGAACGTGCCATTTCCTTATGGGGGGCTGTTAATAGCCCAGCTCACATTGCTGTATTAGATAACCTCTTGCAGCCTTTAAAGTGAGCGTGAGCAGCGAGGGAGGCAGAGGGGAAAAAACATGGACGGGGAGCTGTAGAGCTGTGGATATAGCAGAATTTAGAGGCGCACATCCGCTTTTACTTTATTTGTATCATATATATATATATATATATATATATATATATATATATTTGGTTAGTCAGAAGTTCAGGACCTCACACCAGTGTCGCACCCCACTCTTTTCAGATAACCCAGTGTCCAACTGGCTCCACGCGAGTGCCACAAGAAAAAAGCGCTGTCCGTACACCAAGCACCAGATCCTGGAGCTGGAGAAAGAGTTCCTCTTTAACACCTACCTGACCAGGGACCGTAGGTACGAGGTGGCGAGGCTGCTAAACCTCACCGAAAGACAGGTTAAAATTTGGTTTCAGAACCGCAGGATGAAGATGAAGAAGTTCAATAAAGACGGCGCACCGAAAGACGAGTGACTGAACCTTAGACAAAAGCAGCATTAGACTGATAGCGAGCTTGATGTGTAAGAGCTCTTAACTCTGCTGGACCCTGTTTTTAAACAACATTGTCATATTGTTCTTAATAACAGCTATAGGGTTATTTGTCTTGTAAAAAACAAACAAACAAACAAACAAACAAAAAAACAGCATGTTGGGCTTTAGTTTTTTGCAACTACCATTATATTGCACAGTTTTAACAGTGCACCCTCGTTTTTTTTAACTTGTTCTTTTCTCGTGCTGCTTTGAATTAATACCTCGTTAAAGTGTATTAGTTGGCCTTGCCCCTGTGCTTGTTTGTGTACGACTGTTTCTAGCTCTCTGTGTTCCGGATTGTAGCTATATTTGTTGTCTGTCTCAGAGCCAACTGAGCGTATAGTTTGTAAAAAAAAAGTATTTTATTGTTGTTTCTCTCTTACTATTAGGATAAGCCTTTGACTGAATTTGAATCTAACGTTAGAAACTGTAGGGAAAAAACAGAGTAAAATAGGCGCATAAATACAAGGAACCTCCTGAGAACTCTTACGAAATTTCAGTATATATATGATAGGCTAGAAGTTGTATTACATAACATGATTGACTACCTATGTCTTTCAACTACCTACATACCTACATTGACCTTTGTTTTGCAGTGGTGGATTGTAATAGATTTGTTTGCATTACTGGATTCGTGTGACTGAATTTCAGGGAGTCATTTTCAAAGAGCGTAATATTTGTTAGTGAGTGCAAATGGAAGAAAACACTGTAGGCTAGCTACTCATTTTTAATACCTCGCGGTCGTGCTGACCGTCTGACTTTTGGTTCACAAATGTAATTTGTACTTTATTTATTGAATAAAACAAATTATATCTGCGACGACAAGTATCTTACATTCATATCTCACTGCACCCCCACGCCAGTCTGCATTTCATGCTTTCATAATATTTGAAATTCTGAATTCTTGGTACGCAAAAACAAACAAACAAAAAAGCCTGAGCTGGCGCTGGTTTGCGCTGCCAAAAATTATGACACGTGAAAATACAGAAACAAAAAATAGAGTAATGATAATCAGTTATATTTGGATGATTGCATACTTAGTGAAAATGAGCTTTTTTGTTTGCTTAAATATTTTTAATTTGTAAAAAGCAAAAAAACAAAAAACAATCCCCCCCCCCCCCACCCAAAAAAAGAGTGTGTACCCACACACACACACCAGTGAAACCTAACACACCTAGAACACTGTGTGTGTGTGTGTTGGGGACATAGCTGCATCTTGGCAGAGGATGTTGTTAGCTGTATACAGCCATAAAAGACAATTACCGCTATAACCTTTTATGGGGTGCAAAGCGCTGCGAGGCGAGAGGACACAAAACAAAAAAGACACCGTGGGCTTCGACTGCTGAAGCCCAAAATAATACAGCCGATGTGTTTCTCCTCAGCTCAGATATGACAAGGGCGCTTAGGCTAATCTGTCATGAGCCATCACAGACGGCGCTAAACAATTTACAAGAAGAGGAAAAACCCCGCATCTCTTTAAATGTATTTTGGAAATTTAGGAATTTGTTTAAACACACACACACACACACACACACACACACACACACACACACACACACACACACACACACACACACACACACACACACATTTTGAGGTCAAACTGTCCAACTGGCTTTGGAGTAATGGTGTAGGTCTAGTTTAAAATATGGCCCCTTCATTTTAGTGTTAAGACTGGTTCAAGTCTCTGCATGCTGGAGAAAATATTTGACACAAAAAAAGAGACCAGCAAATCCGATCTGAGCTACAGTTGCATGGTGTCCTGATCGATCAAAGACAGGAGGAGCAGGTAATTCAGCTTTCATTAAGGGGCTGTACAGAAACTATCGATTATGCTGCTTGGAGGCTAAGTCGTACTTTAGTCCACAACTGGAGTGCTGTTGTGACGCGTTGGGGGGGGGGGACGCAGATGGACCCAAACTTCAAAGACTCGGCCAGAGACAGTGCAATAAAACGCCTGGTCTGCTATACTGTCTGGCATTCCAGTTTTAATGGCTTTATGGCCGTCCAGACACAATTAGGCCGCTTCCAGAATGGCACCCATTTGTTTTTTTCTTCTCTTTCTGTGAGACTGCGGTCTGGACAAAAGGCCCGAGCGGAAATGATCAGTTTTATTGGATTCTCCTCGACGGGGACGCGCAGGACTCACGGTCATTTGGAGGGATCCTTTGTTTCTACCTGGGAACCTTCCGCCCCTTGCTCCTTTGCCGGGCCTTCCTAAAGGAAAAGGTAGCAATAAAGTGAACAGCTAGTTTCAGACACAGCAGTGAGACTTGTGTCTATAAACACGAGTATGTTGCAACACCGGAGCATTTCTCCAAATCATACCCAACATAAACGAAACGTCACCTCCGTGACATCCTCCTTTCCTTAATCTGCTGCATTCTATCGGATTCAGCATTAAAATAACAACGCCTGCGCAGTGCTGCCTCCCCAACGCTGCAATCCCTACGAATCACCAGAGGGTGGCGACACTGTTCTACACCACCCCTCTGCTTTTTGTAACACCCCCTCCCTAATGAGCCTGCACTGGGAACAAACTGTAGCAGCATTTTAAGAGTCCAGAGGAATAATTTCACACCTTTTTACAGTCTCAGTGTAGAAGCTGCTTCATGAACCTGCAGCTCTGCGGGGAGGAATGAAAAAGCTTGTGGCTGCTGGATTACTGCTTGCACACCCAAGTAGTCGCTGTGTTCACTCTTGTCGTCCTGTTGTCGTATTTAAAGGTAAACGCCTTAAATTAAATAATTAGTTTAACAACAAGACTTTGCTAAAATCTGCATCCTCCCGCTCAATTGTTCATTAATTATTTCAAAAATGCATATGTTTAAAATAAGATATAATATGTGATATTTTCCACACGGAATAATTAAGTTTACAATCCGTATTATTATTATTATTATTATTATTATTATTATTATTATTATTATTATTATTATTATTATTATTATTGCTTAAAATATTACTAAAAATAACAAAACTATTACCTTAAAACAATATTAGTTAATAATTACATTATGATATTAGTAAAGTTAAATAATTAAAAACGTAATATTACTAATACTACTACTGATCATTATTATAGACGGTAATCGTAATTATTTAAGGTAAAGTAGTGAAATCTAAATATTTTCAATTTAGTATTATTAATTTTTTTTCAAGCATGATTTGTGGTAATTTATTGCCCATTTATGGGTAACAATATAATCTAATTTTACCAACAATAACAAAACAACAGCAACAACAACGATAATAATAATAACCGGTCATATTGCACGGATAGACAAATATAATGAAAACTAACTTGTGAAAATATGTTTTGATGGCACGAGCCATTTTGTAAGATCAAAAGAAAATATACAGATGTCTTCATGTGGTAGATAATCAAAAACTATTTCTATAAGTATACTATACTTTTAGAAATATTTCTTTAAGTACTACTAGATAGATAGATAGATAGATAGATAGATAGATAGATAGATAGATAGATAGATAGATAGATAGATAGATAGATA